TTTATTTCAATATTTAACATGAATTATGTACAGGTTTACATAGTATACAAAAGAAATAACAATACAACAATAAATTCGTTTACAAAAATCAGCAAAATATTGTAAGCAAAACCGCATAACAGAAGAAGTCTTTAATAGCGCCGCAGCTCCTCAGCTCCACGAACGTCTCCGTCATAATCGCAGCTCCTTTGAAATGTAAAGACATCTAGTAGAAAAAAATAATTGGTCAATAATAATGTTATTAAAGTCTAAATGCAATTGTGCCTCAACGCAAAGTTTTGTCGAATATTTTTAAATCTGCTACTGCAGCAAGATGGGAAGCGTCTATTACAGTCAAACTGCTCCATTAGCTGATCTTTCCGTACGTCATGGAGTGCCCTTAACAGGCCTATTCTGACTAGGTAACAAAATTTACTGAATGGGAAATTTTAATGCCAAAGTTACCATTTCGTATTCTGAGCTCACTGTTACCCTGTAAATTTTGTTACCAGCGAAATAGGAGGTAACATAATCTGATGTTTGATTTTGTGTTGTAAGTTTGACAAAAAATAAAAAACCAAAATGGGTAGGCATATTTTAGGCCTGGAATTCATTGAAGATGAAGAAAAAAGTGCAAAAAGCCGTATATTAAGAAGTTTTCGAGACTGAAAAACAGCCTTTTAATTTGTAAGATAACGTTTTCATTCAGCTTTTTTGTTGTCCAGTCATATTTTCCATAATTAGGTTCAAATACTTATGATTTAATAAACAAATTATTAGAACTTTGTAATTCTTTTGTGCACCGTCTTCCATTTCGATGTGAATATTTTTCTTTTTACTTTATCAACTGGCAAATGTAATTTGACATGGACGAAAAAAGCAGTTCGCTGGAATACCAAATTCAATTTCGGGTATTAAAGAAAAGTATCAAAATTTACTTTACCGGTAACAGTGAGGCCTATAAATAAACAAATGAAAAAGCAATGGGAAATTAAGTACTTAATTCATCCAAAATATATTATTACCATAGCTTGTGCGGGATCCTGATCATGTATTTTTCACTTCTATATACTGCGGAGAAAACGATAAAAAATGGCGTTCTACTCGAAAATAAAAACAAAGAAAATCGGATAATCCGTTCAACTGCATTCTTCTTCAATTTGTGTATACCCAGAAGAGAAAAATAAACAAAAAAATGTGCATATGTGTTAGTGCTGCCAGAGACCGTGAGTGTATTGGTGAACCCATTAGCCCGTTCTTGCAGGGTAATTTTGTTTGGTTGATTATATGTAGAAACTTAAAGTAACAGTCGTCAGTTTTGCTTATACCCGTTTCTATACTATTTTGTTCCCCACCTTTAGCTTTAGGGAAGCAAACTACCTTTACTGATCGACTTTCTACTCATACAAAATTTATAGAATGTTGTTATCGTTTTATGTAGCAAAGCCATATGTAACCGACTTTTTACTTAAGACCCGTTGGTCGATCCACCAAGAAAACAGTAATGAACTGAACTAGCACCCGTTCGAAGAACATATTTATGCCCTTATTATCTTTTAATCTTGTTATACCTCTGTTAACATTGGATAATAAGTTATCACATTTATAGTAAGGTTGTGGTTCTTGTTATTATGTATGTGTATGTGTATTCTTCAATTCAGCTTCTTTGCTGGACATCCATTTTGGTTGTCATCGTTACTCCTTCATATGTTAACATTCCACGTTCAAACGTACTCGATTCGCAACCACATAGATAAGCAGCTGACTTGCAAGAAGGACCTATTGCATATTGCCAAGGCAAACAGATGTTGCAGTAATTTTCGTCACGTCGTGCATATATCTAAAATACAAAAGCTTCCACAAGTTCATATACGAAAAAAATCTCAAGGATCAATTCATTAAGGTCACCTGAAACCATTAACAAGTATTCATATATTATATGCACATTAATATAAACTACCCAAAAATATACCAAATTTAAAAAAAATATATGTACAAATAAATAAATATAAAATAAATAAATAAATATTTAAATAATCAGAAAATATTTAATGTAAACAAACTCAACCAGCCAGTAGGCAAGGTGTATGTGCTGCCTATCAAATGTTTTCAATGAAATTCAAAACTTTTTGCTACTATTTAAAAAATATTATGAAAAATCGGACGCTTTTTCACAAAGAAGCATCATGGTTTTCTTGTAAGGGAGCCGACTTGCCATGAGGGAGCGAGAAAGCTGTCTACTTATCCAAGCTTTAATTAATGAATCTTGGCTATATGTACATAATTTTGTAATTATTACAAAAATAATATATTTTAAAATTAGACATGTCAAAGTTAGTAAGTTTTTTTTTTAATTTTTATAGACTCCAAGCGATTGTCAACTGAAAGTGTCTTATACTCTCAGTACATATTCGTCATCATTATTGAAGGTAATATACCTTAAGTTTACTGAAACTACACTATCAGGCCTAATCAGTTTCGGTGACGATGGGTCTAATAGACCTTAGATGCTATGCATATTGAAAAGTCTTATCCAACTGAGAATCTGGTTACCATCTTGTCATCTTTTGCAATAAAACTCCCAAGAACGATTTTGACACCGTAACGAGGGTAGCGCCAATAAAATGTATCTTTAGTCACGTTGTCCCTCTATTGTTCGCAAATCTGCGAAATGTTGAAGAACCTCATATTAATGCGATCGTATCATGGAGTAAATGCAGGCGCTCGGCGAGGTGACTCTCTTACTGATCACTATAAATTTGCCACTTTCTTCCATTAGCCTTGATTTTTACCAGGACATCAACCAACTACTACGCTACGCATAACCCACAGACGATGGGTTCTGACTTCATCGTAGATGTAACAAAAATGTTAATGTAATAAATAAAAAGGTAAAACTCTATCTATATGTACATATGTATGTATGTATGTATGTTCAAACGATCAATCCATCACTAATGAACTTTCGTGATTTCGTTCGAATATGCATACATACATGTATGTATGTACATATATGTATATGTGCTTATTTTGGATGTGGACATAAATACATGCATATGCACATATGTATGTACATATTAAAAGCTGAGACACTGTTGTAATCTAAGTTTGGCTAAGTAACAGACACACATGATATGTATCTTGAGGTAATTCAAAAACATTTTCATCAAATCAAAGCTCCCAGAACAATCAGCAAAATAATGGAGTATGCTCTTTTGTCTCTCGAAGCCATTATACATACATACATACGATATACATACATACATATGTATGTACATATATACAAGTACATTAATACTTACTTATAATCTTACATTCGGTAGAACATTTACAAATGCATTCTTACATATGGATGTATGTATGTTTGTATCATGTACTTGCATTGATATCTAGTCCTACCAGACAGAAATGAAAGAAATCTCATCTCCAACATCCCAACATTAAGAAAAAATAGTAGGTAGACAAATGGATGCTCCACAAACAGTGCTATTAAAGGAGCAAAGTTTGGCTTGTACGCACAAGTACACCCAAAATAAACGGCTGCATTCACACCCAACGCCAAACGGCCATTTTCCTGAGATGCACTGCTGCTTGTTGCTGCATATGGAATGTACACACGTGTATGTAAGTAAACATGTTTGTGCGTATGCATGAAATAGTGTTCGAAGTAAAGCCAACCTCGGCAGCGATGTCGAATTACTGCGCTGACGTTAAACAGCCGTGTAGTCGATGGCAACGAACGGCTGGCAGCGTTGTTCAATCGAAAACGAATAAGAAATGAGCGAATTGAGTATCAAATTGAGCATTAACTAATGAAGGCAACAACAAACACATATTAAAAGAGCGTCAACGAATGGTGTGGAGAGCAAGAACGGCAGCGAAGTGGCAGAATTTGAACGCTGCCACGGTAGCTGTGGCTGTTCGTTAATCATTTGCCTCGTAGCGAGTGAGCAGTGTAGCAAGCGTTTAGTTTTATTTTCTACCCCCGACGATACGGTCAATCCTTATGGCGATGTCTCGCAAAATATCAAAAACATTGCGCTCAGTAAATAAATAAATTGACATGGACAATCACATTGACGTTGGCAGTGTGTGGAAGAATAGAGACTAAAAGAGAAACAACAATAAATAATTGGCAGCGGCAGAGGAAAATCGGAAGAAAAACGTAAGGAAATAAACGCTATGCAAATAAACGTTTGCCAAACAAACGCAGGAAAAGTCAAATCGTACAAATACGAACAAACGAACGAAGACGACTTGAAGGTGAATCGAAGAAGTCTACTTGACCAAATGCTCTTTTGAATCGTAAGCCAACGACGCTGTTGTTTTGTCGGCAGGAAAATTTTTCGCTGTTTGCTGTGACTGCGTTGCAGTGTAGTTAAGTTTAACGTTATATTAAAGCAAAGTTGGTCGGTTGGCTGGCGTTGTGCTTGACGCTTCGATTTCACGTGCGGTTTTTTTTTTTGCTTCAGTTCTCTGCCGTTTTATTTTTGTTCCGTTTTTGCTGAGCTCTTCATTGGATGGTTCCCTCTTGTTTTAATATTCTATTTACTCAGTTTCCATGTCGCATTCGCCGTTCTCTCATTTTATTTTAAGTTTGTCACTATCTGTTTTTGCGGCAATACGACTTCATATGTGCATTTGTTACTTTGTGCATGTATAGAAAGAGATTGTGAGAAGAAAAATAAATTCAATACTCGCGTTGATGAGAAAGAGTTTGAACGAAACATATCTGCAAAGTACGTCGTGCGAAGAAATGCAACAAAGTGATAAGTTGGAAAGTGGAAAACTTAAGTGAAAATTGTAATTGAACGGCATTGCATTTTGCAAATTACATAGAAGAAATTCGCAAAACGTATTCGTTCGTTCCATGGTGTTGTTCGGCTTGGTGGCCTCGGGTTTGTCGTTACGAACTAGCGTTGCAAGAAAAAGCAAAAGCCAAAGCATTGGTGTGCGCGTGTGAATATTGGCCAGAGCGTTGTTACTCAGTGAGTTTTAGATCGGTAGGTCATTAATTTGAAGTGCAGTGTGTTGGTTGCACAAATTGTCATTCGTAAAACAGAAAAGAAAAGCGTGCAAAAGTTAATTAATTGTAAAATGGAGGTTGAACCTCAGCAGGATGTGTGTTATTGTATAAAAAGAATTTAGTTGCCGCTTAGTTATAGGCAGTGCGAAATTTCATTAGGACAGATAGAAAAAAGATAATCTACTTTCTTTTATTAGAAGGGGGGCGAAAAGTTGACGTCGTAGTTTTGAACTATGGTATGAAAAAATGGCGTACACAAAGTCGCAGCTGCCCACGAATGACAGTGGCAGCTGAGTTGGCTGCGGAGAAGAAGAATATGTGAATTGACATTCGGCGATTTCCGTTTTTAGATTTTATTATGTTTCCTCTTCTCCGCTCTTCAAGTTTGTTTTTCTCTTTTGTTATGGGTGATTTTACATTTTGTTTGCTGTGTGTTTTATAATGGCGGAGCTTAAAACAAAACCAACGATTGAAAATTTTTTACGTCGGAGAACAGCTGTTGTGTTGTTGAATAGCAGCCGAGTAAAAAAAAAATGACAACACCGGCGTATATTGAAAGAAAATGGCGTTCTCTGCATTAATGCTGCTGCCGTTTTTTTATCATTTATCCCTCTCTCCAATGATTATTTTCTCCCATGTTTTGTTTACTTTTTCATATTTTGTTTCGTTAATAATTATTACAACGTTCCTTCTTGTAAGTGTTGAATATGAATATCAAAATTATATCCACATAATTTACTTATATGCATATGTGCATATTAAATTATAGAAAGGTAACTTGTGGCATACGGGCTTGCAGTTATTTCAATTATCATAAATTTAATACATTGCATTACTTAAGCTGTAAAAATTTTGAATAGCTGTAATACCCATATATTTGTAACTATTAAATGTTTTTATATCTCGGAAATTCATTTACTTTCTAACGCCTTGAATTTATTAGCCATTCTTATCACTATTAATTGCCATGTAAAAATGAGGGATGCACGGATTCTTTATGCCAGGAAATCATAAGGTTTGTATGTACATAATAGTATTGAGGCACATCACGTTTTAGAGTTCGATAACATGTTCTTAAAAAAATATCAGTTCGGTTTAATTATTGTTTGAATTAAAGTCATTTCGATAATTCAAAAATATTTGTAGTATTTATTTCTAAAAAATTATTCCAATTTATTTGAGCTGAGACCTTCCCTAACAAGTGGACTCAGAGTTTCTGGGACGGGATTGCAATAGATTGTAAGCGATTAGAGAATAATAATGTTACTCAACATAAATAAAAAGAGATTTCTGTTGTGGCATATTAACATGCATATATATGAATTTTTTAACATTATTACAATAGTTACAAAATTATCGTACCAAAAAAATCCAACTATCTATGTTTGTGCGTAAATGTCACAAATAACAGTGCTGGATATTTCGAAAAAAAAGAAAAAATTTAAAAGTAATCAATCACAAGAATTTGAATTAAAATAGAGTTTACGTATATATGTATGTAAATATGTACATGTCATGCAAAAAAATCATTCAAAGTAATTATCAATAACTGTTTTTTGAACCTCTCGTTAGGTGACTTCCGCAAAATGGACAAGTTTTGCCTACTTTCCTGGGAGTGGTTTAGTTAGCCGCTACAACAACAACACTACAAAATATATCAGTATATTTGTAGGCATTTTAAATTTTGAAATATTTTTTCTGGCATTACTCCCAATTATTTATTGCGTTTTTTAAATACAACAAATGTCAAAATAAATGTATGGCGTATACGCAACATTATTTTTTAATAATAAAATTGCACATAAAACTCCCAGCGAATGTTCGTCTGGCATGCAAACACACAATACATACATATTTAAATATGTACATACATACATATATCGCTGATATTAATGCTTTTCCTTTTATTCAAACAAGTCCATTTAATAAAAACTATGAAGAGAAAAAGGATCAGCTCACAAAAGGACATAAAACTTAAATAAACATCTGTTGCTGTTTATGTTATCAAGTACTGAGTGTGAATCTGAAATTAGAAGAGAACTTAGAAGACATGGTAAAGAAAGCCGCTAAAGCACAATTTTTCTTTTAAGATTATGAATGTAATTTATCGGCTCTAGTAGCCGATAATAGAAAAGAAATGTGTAACGCGTGTGTCGAAAGAAAACAAACAGATGCTGATATAGTATGGGTGTGTTAGTGGAACTCTTAGCGCGAAACCGGGGTTTATACCGAGCGAAGTGAAGTTAAATTTAAATATTCTTTACCATGTAGAGATGAATGGGGTGAGGTGAACAACGAACGTGGTTTTATTTACAACTAGGTAATCGAGTGGGAGGTGCTGTCTTCAGCAAAATTAGATAACAGTCTAACTACCGGATTTCAGTAGAGTTTTCCAAAAGAAAATTACTCCAATTAGTTAATTGTTTCCCTCTGATCCAGACAAAGAAGACATTTTGGTACAAAACGAGCCTCTTATAAAATGCTTTTCCTGTTGGTCACTTAACTCAGGAGTTGTCAATAAGAGACTACTTCCTAATACGAAAATATTATTATTTTCTCGCTAGGTATATTTAACTGTAGCTCGCTCTCTGAAATACTTGTCTCATTAATAGATTAACTTTCCTCAACTTGTGATAGGTAATTTCCTTAGTCCTGCCATAACCTTTTGTACATTGAACTAGTCCTAGAAGAAAAATAAAAAAAGGAATTGTAAGCATGCGTTAATATGTGAATGTATGTATGAATGTATTAGAAAAGATGCCAGCAAAAAGCAATAAAATGTAATTTTCCACCAACCCCAATTTTTTTTATGCATACATTTGTGCTGTGTGAAAAACATTTTTTTACCCCTGGAGTGTTGTGGTGGTTGTTTGTTATTAGACAGTCTGAGAAGTAACAACCAAAATCTTTGTAGTACTTAACCCACTAACTAAATTTTAAATTTAACTTTATTCGATTGTCATTGCTTTGGCCCAGTCAACTTCTTTATATACATATTTACATTTAGATGTGCTTTGTATGTACGAGAGAAGAGAGTATGTTTGTAGTACGTCTACTAGCCAGAATGTGTGCCGCTTACTGCCAACAGATACAGAATTTGATCTACATACAGCTACAGCTAGACTTTTGCTGCCTGCGGCAAAGCAAATGGAAGTCACGTCATATGCATGCTGAGTATAAACACAACATCTTCGTAACCGGTTTGCAGGAGCCATATACAAACATATATTTATATTGTACATGCATACATACTAATGTACTACTTAACGTGTTTTCCCTTTGCATGCTGATACTTTCAGCTGTTGTTTTGATTTCTTTTATTTTGCTCCTTACAGGACTAATCCTATAAGAAACTTGTTGAATGATGTTCAGTGAAGTTGTGTGTATATAGTCATTTATATGGGTATAGGTGTGGTAAAGCTGCTGAGCATCAATGCAATGGTGGCCGTCAGGTGAAATTGTGTGGCTGATAAAATTAAGTTTTAAGGCATTTTTCTATCTTGTGATTCGATGTATTCACTTAGAACTTTTCTATATAGGTAAATTTGCTATAGGAGTTAAATTTGCAAAAAAAAAAAAAAAGTTAAGTGTCCTTTATTGTTGTTGTGAAATGATGGGAAAAGTAATTTTTTGATATATGTGCATACATAAACTACATAAAGAAAATCTAAATGTAGATAAGGTCTTTAACCATTTTAATAATATTTTCTATTAAAAAAGTTTCTCTAATCCTACTGTACAAAGATTTTTTATCTAAATAATAGCTGGCCCATGCCATGCCCATGCCGGATTTAAAAAAAATTATTATCCTTCCTGCAGCTTCACATTATTTGTTTTTGGCCTCATGTTACATAGTGGTAGATGTAGTTGGAGCTAATACCTAGCTAATGGATACGGTATAGGAGTCAGCAGTGTTTTGTCAGAATACCCGAAATAATGAAATATTTCATTCTTTTAGTATTGTAGCTGCCTCCGAACTCCTACACCACATGGTGTATTTTATGGAGTTCAGGAGATTAACGATTCCTGGAGAAATCAATAACGAAAAGCACTGAGAACTGGGCAGTGACAGAGCAGTTGTTTGATAAACTGCCTATCCTTCTACTATGAGTCCCCACAACAGAGCGGTCGGTTAATACACCGAGTGTTATACTTTTGGAGGTTATGTTCAGAAGGTTTTAAAAAATTAGTTATTTTGGCTTTGTATTAATTGCACGTGGTTTCACTCTGCCATCTGCTGTTGGCCCTTCTTGATCAACACTAGTCTTAACAAATACTTGGCCGAGGAAAGAGGTATACCTACATCATATACTAAATTTACCGGGATAATGATTATCCCCCATCCGGTCAGTCCTGGCGTGTCCCTATGAAGAACGGTTTGACATAAATATTTTAATACATCCCCTAAAAATAATTTAAGAAATCTTCAAGATTAAACATTTCTGAAAAAACTTATTTAGTGTAAAAAATTTCGAAGTGAAACAACCTCATAGAATTTTTGTAACATGAGTTTTATGACACATACTTACATATGTACATATATCATTTTATACGTATTTATTTATTACAATTAATTGTGAATATTCATCTCTCTTTTTAGCTGTTGAACTCAATGCGGAAGTTGAACAACAAGAAAGAAGGAGTGAACTTTCTGAGCGAGATTTTCCTCGCAGGTTATTCAAAAGCAAAATAAACGGCTTCATAAACAAATTGCCAATATTTGCATACTGTGCAGCAACATAGAAATAACTACAACCTAAAAACATTGCGTTACAGTGTTAACGTATCCTCTATAAGATCAGCTATATAGCTGAATATAGGGTAAATATAATGTCGACACGCAAAACGCCAGCGGTTGCAACAAACGCGTCAGCGGCTGGATCACAATCCACAGCGTCAACAACGAAGTCGGAAAATGCGACGACAAAAGTAGCATCAGCAGCAGCTACAACAACAGCAAAGACATCAACAATAGCTGGTATAGAAGCTGCACCAAGCACAACAAGTGTTAAAGACAAAACTGAAATGGGCTCAAATGCATCCTCCAGCGCTAATGCTGACGCTGAAATGAATGATGTTTTGGAATCGGCTAAGGAGACAGCAAAAACGGTGCGCGCCAATAGTGAACCAAAGCGAATAACTAGGAATTCGCCGCTCTTGTTGGTATCGCCTCCACCATCGGGCGCCATGAAAAAGGAAGCTTTGGATTCTGAATTAACAAATAGTGAGAGTGAAGATGGAAGTGCTATGCGACGTTCAACGCAAATTAAAGGTCGTAAATCCTTAAAGGAGTGTAGGGAAAGAAAATCGTCTTCCGACAAGGAAAAGATTAAGGAGGAAAATTCGGCTGAGGCCCACGAAACTGAAAAATCGGCTAAAGATGCTAAAGATGTCAAAGAGAAAGACGTCAAATCGGCAAAAGTTGATAAGAAGAAAGAAGACGTTGAAACTGAGGATAGTGCGAAGGATAATTCTCAAGTTATCGATAGCAGTACTACAACATCTATAACAGCAACAACAAATAGATTAACTAGAAAATCCGTTGCGCAGGAATTGGCGGCAAATACAAGAGTTACACGTAATCGGCAACCAAACACAACACGTCCTGAAACGCCTCCAACTACGACCAACGCTGCTAACGCTGCTTCGACACGACCACGTCGGTCAACAGCGGGCAAGAAAAACTCTAATTCATTAAACGAGTCTGGTCCAAAACGCAAACGCGCCGATGATGACAGTAGTGCACTTGAAACACCAGGCGGTAAATGTATCAAAGTCGAGCCGAAAGATGATTCCGAAGTCACAGAAGATGAATTGCCGCCGCCAACCATAGACACAACGAAAATTAAATCTGAACCCGTCGAAAGTGATGAATCAGCAACAGAAGCAAGCACAACCGGATCTGGTTCAAGCGTGACGCGCAGTCGAGGACGTTGGAATATGCGTAAGCCACAACAAACGTGCCTGCAAAGCTCACCAAGTACACGTGCCACACGTCACTCAAAAAACGCTTCACCCTCACCATCACCAACTACATCAACAACGTCAAGTGCCAGCGGCAGCAACGCTACCGAAGCCAAACGTAAACGTGCTAATGTACAAACAAATACTTTGAAACGCAGTTCATCCTTGACACTCTTAAAGACTGCAGCAACAACAAGTAGCGGCATAAATCCAGCGGCTACACAACTTCATGTACCTGACGAAGACTCAAAAGATAGCATGGCATCATCATCCATCGATGAATTGTCGGTAACAGATATAAAGTTGGAAAAGTTAACACCTGATTTAGCTGATGACATTCATATGGACATCGAGGCGGAGAAAAATGTTACAAACCATGCAAGTAGTGCTATTGCTATTGCCTTGCCACTCACCGTTGAGACAGACGAGATAGAAGCAAAAAGAGAGTCAAAGGATTTGCAGCCAACCACCACAGGCGTTGAAATTAAGGAAAATGTTGCAGAGAAAGGTCCTTGCACACCTTTGGCCAGCACCAGTAGCTCCTGCTCAGCAGACAATGTTAAGGCAGCATCACTGAGCCCGGAAATGGTTAGTGAAGGCGTAAGCGAAATTAGCGTTAAGCAATTTTACAAAAAACCGAAATTTCTTGAAAATAATTTGGGAATTGAGGAGGATCCCAAATTGGGCGAAATTGTACAAAAAGTAAGCACAGAAAAAGAAAAGGAGCAAGCCAATGCTGTTGAAAAAACAGCAATACATCTCGTCGACAAAGATAAAATTTCACTAATAACAAAAGATAAGACGCTGACTGATGAGAGCGGTGTAATATCGGATGAGAGCGATGATATGAAGGAAGGTGCCCTACGCATAGAAGAGAGTGCTGAAGAGAAGAAAAATTCTTGCAATGAGGATGCCAACAGTATAAGCACGGAGATTTTATCACCTCTTGTAATTGAGGACGATGACGAAATAGAAGATATTGAAATATTGGAGAGTGCGGCAACAAATATTAGTGAAAACCCGACTAAGAGCGAACCACATAACTCAGACCCTGCAGATATAGAAAATGTAGTTGAAATTGATGATGATGATATCACAATGGAAGACAGCGAAACCATATCGATGGATAATAATCCTTCAGTGCAGGAATCTTTAATTGATGATTTGCATGTTGATCCAGATATGGATCATGACGGCGAGCAAACGGAAAACAAAATAGATATGTGTGTCTTAGAGGAAAATGATGAAGAAATTAATGAAAAGACTAAAACTGAATGTGATAGTATACAAGCCAAGCTTAAAGTTGATAATGAAAATATTATTGAAACTAATGATGAAGTCGAAGGTGTTGAAAATAATACAAAATCTAAACGCATAAGCGTTGATGAACAAAAACTGAGCACAGAATACTCAAAAGTTAAGCTTATCCATATGAATATCGATGGTGATGGCATAGATCTAGCGGAAGCCATGGATACAGCTCAGTCGGAAGAAGAAGACGATGCAAAGTTATGTATTGATATGCAGGAAGAAAAAATGTTGACTTCAGACATGGAGATCATTGAAAATATAGAAGACGATGAAGTTGTTGCAAAGATTGATGCCGAGTTGAAGTTATATGATGATTTAGAGAAGAGCAAGATTCTCGATCAAAAACTAAATACTGATGCGGTTACCGCTGACGAAGATGAAGAGCATAAAAAGATCAAATTGTCTGTTGAAGATGACAATATCAAATCAAATCGGATGCCTGAAGATCAAAAAGATTCCATAAGCATAAGCACGACTGAAATCTGTAATAAAAGTGAGATTACACCCACTGTAGTAGTAAAACTTCCGGATGATGCGAACGATATTGAGAATATGGTTGGTTTATTTATATTGCTACATTAAATTTTAACTAAGTTGATTTGAATTTATGTTTACAGGAACCAAATAGTTCTGATGAAGCAGACAAAGAAACAGCAGTCTCGTCAACAACCGAATCGCCTACGAAATCAACTGCTACACATAAAGAGGATGATACCACATCAATGAAATCAGGTCAATCCACTGATGGCAGCTCGTGGGTTACACTCGACCTCGAGCACGATGAAGAGTCTCTTCGTCAAAAGGAAAAACATTTACAAAACCTCGGATTGTTGACTCATGAAGCGGCTGAAAAGCGGCGGCAAGAATTCATTCAAAATTCGGTGGCAGCAGAAGCTACTCGTGTACAGCACCAAAACACCATTGGTAATAGTAGTAAACGCAATGGCAAATCCAATACCAATGCATCGTTGACTCACGAATACACTGGCACGCTAAAAACTGTTATTAAAATAAATCGTACCACAAGTGGTGGCAGTCATACTTCGTCCTCGGGCACTAGTAATGGACGTAAAAACAATAGTAATGGCGGTCAGCATAGTGCAACAAACGCTGGCAGCTCGACATCAAGAGACGCGGCTAATGGTAGCACGGTGCGAAGACAATCTTTGAAAATTACATTCCAAAAAGGTCGTGGGCGCGGCCAAGGAAACACCGATCGTGCTGCAGACCACCACAGCAATGGCGAGGATGCATATTATACCATACAAAATGAGGTATGAACGTTAGCAGTTATTTAAATGTAATAGTTTTTAATTGGAATTATCTTTATATTTTCCAGAACGAAGGTGGGCTCAAAGCAGGCAACGCCGGTTCTACGGCGGAGCATACCAATAGTCAAACGCATGGTAGAAAATCATACAATCGCTCTAACACTACTAGCCATTCTACAAATACCGCTACCATTGGTGTGTGTTTATAGATTAACCCGTATTCGCAAGTAGTTTTGTTTTACCTAATACAGAATATTTTTGAATTGTTGTTTGTGGTTTTTTGTTTTAATTATTTTTTATTTAATTGTTAATATATCGTTTTTTTTTTTTGGGTTTTAGCTGCATGTTTAATTTGCTTTGGTTAATGATAAAAAGTTAATTTATTTAATTTTCGGACACACATCCATAAACTGCTTTTGTACGCATTGAATTAAATTTGAATTGAGGAAAAAATGAAGGAGCTTACCTATATTTCAGTAAAATGTGGCCCAGTTCAAGAAAAAATTGTTTTAAATTATTTTGTACATACCCATATGTAAGCATTGTTTTATTAATATGTAGGACTTTTGTTCACGTAAATATGAAAATATTGTATAAATTTGCAAAAAAAAAAAAAAAGAAATTCTACACTCTTATGTATCAGTAAATAAAACATTTTTTTTAGTAGAATCGAACACACACATTCCACTTTAAATTAATTACTTTTCCAATTGATTGTTACGTAAATTAGTCTAACATAAAAAATGCTGGAGAAATATTGAACTCGATAATAAACGCATGACAATTATAATTTAATTAGATTCCTCACATTCGGAAGGTTACGACACTTTACACCATCATCACACCACGGCAAGCATTTCTCATAAAAAAGATGAAAAAGAAGAAATCCTCATACCTGAAAAAGCATCGTCATTCAAATTTCATCCTGGACGCCTTTGTGATGACCAATGTTTCTACTGTAGCGGTAAATTTGGACTTTATGATACGCCCTGTCATGTGGGTCAAATTAAAACAGCGGAGCGGCAGCAAAAAATACTTGCGAGTGAGTTCTAATAAATAATAGAGTTAAAGTGTCAGGCTTTAAAATTTTTATCCACTTTTTTTTTAAACAGATGAAGAAAAACTAACAGTTGACAGTTGCTTGTGTGATGCTTGCTTCCGGCATGTGGACAGACGTGCAAACGTGCCATCATATAAGAAGCGTACATCCGTTGTCAGTCATATTGATAATACTGCTGCAGCAACAGGTGCTGAAACTGCCGACAACGCTGTGACTGAAGTCGAAGATGACCCTCGTTCACATAAGTGTTTAGTGCCAGAATGTGCTAATCCCGCAGCACATTCCTTGCGCCGCAAATGCATAAGGAAAAGTGTGAAAAAATTTCTGCTAAATTTCGACATGCCAACCGGTTCAACTTGTGTATGGCTCTGTCAGGCGCACTACGACACCGTCATACAATGTTCGGGTTGTGTTTTGTGTAAACGTCGGTTGGGCAAGAATCATATGTATCACATAACGTCGGTAAGCTTAATGTTTAATACCGAAACATATTTTTTTTATTATTAGTTAATTATATCATATTAAATTATCCTGCTTAATATATATTTTAGGACACTGATCGTCTCGAGAAAGCTCTATCGGAGATGGGTATTCCTGTACAGCTGGGTATTGGCACAGCTGTATGCAAGCTATGCCGTTATTTTGCAAATCTATTAATGAAACCACCAGAAAGTAACAAATCGCAAAAGGCAGAGTTCGTGAAAAATTATCGCAAACGGTAAGTTTTTATATTTACCCGTATTTCGCTGGTTACATACTTACATTTATGTATAAATAACTATTTCTCATAGAATCAAATTACGAATTATGTAAAATTATTTAACGTCGTTGCCTCATAAATATTCCACTTTACCCCTAGCACGCCATTCACAGAAAGGAAGTCTTTGAAGGTGTTGACTGACTCGTGGTGAATGGCTTTCAGTGCTTGTCTGTACGCCGTCCTGTACCCTCCATACCGAGTACTCCCTTTCTGATGTGCCTAAATGGAGGTTCAGCTTCAATAAGATGCCTAGAAATTGCCTGCACAGCAAAGCATTACACGCCTTAACTCGTGGCATAGATGCTTCGCTGTGAAAGTGATGATCCGGCGACATCAGGAGGTTTCATGTCGAGGTCCTGAGGGCAGTGTTCTGGCAAGCCTGTAACTTCTTCATCTGCGCCTCGTTCGTCCCTGGCTCTCAAATCGGTGCAGCATAGTCAGGTTGCCAGCAAGGTTTCTTTATCTTTACCTCAGGTGCTGCCGATAGTGCTTTGAGTATTTAGTTGTGGTTCTAAAGTCTTGCGGCAATCGAGGTCGTATGCGGAATGAAGGAGTGTAGGCTGTCGAGTATGACTCCCAATATCTTTGGGTTATTTACTGTCGGAATTTTCACTTTATCGACTTCACATCTAATTCGAGCCTGTTTTTCTTTACCCAGCTGGTGAAGAGGGTAGCTGAAAATTTTGTCGGTTGAATTTTAACCTGTCTTGCAGTGAATAAGGGTGACAGGTTGACGAAATAGCAGTTCACTTTTGAACAGAGGTCATCAATATCCTGGCCAGACGCCAATATCGTGCAATCATCGGCTTATGAGGTTAAGGAAACTCATTCTGGAGGAGGCCACCAAATGAAATCTCCACTTGGTCATCGAGTATCGTCGGGTTAGGCAACGATTTGACTGTAGCCCAAAGCTTGGTTGCCCGAGAAGATAGATTGAAGGATCTTAACTGATCATTCCACTTTTTCGGCTTGTGATTATTAACTACTAGCCGAATCTCCATGTTGAAATCCCTGATTTTAGGATTACCGTGATCGGCGCTACGAAGGATGTCGCGCCTTGAAGCTGGCGGCAACGGTCACGACAATCCTGCGGAATGAACGTTAACCAGCAGTGACGTCTGTGCAGTAGGGAGAGCACTGAAGGCTCAGTAGATCTGAGCGGGCGGTCAACTTCTTTTCGTGGATCGTAGCAATTGGGAGATATCATATAGTCAACTATATCATCGATCTTACCCTGGAGTCCGTTGTAGTTGAATTGTAACAGTCATACCTGTCTCGGAGAACGTACGTGATACGGGGAGTGAGGGAGTAATGCTGTTAGTATAGGTCTGGTCTGACTGTGCGGGGGACTAGGAGCTGCTGGGTAGTCCCTGCATGGGAGGAAGAAGAGGATCTGGTTGTGGGTAAGGGTGGAGATTGGTGGGAGTCATGCTGCAGGGAGCTTCTGAGACCGTAGAGGTCTGTTGGTTACCCAAAGTGGGCAAGGATGCTGAAAACACTGCCGTGGGAGGCATAACTTAATATAACTCCAACCATTGCATTGGTTACATTTAACCGAGGTGTAGGAGTGGTGGAGACTATTATAGCACATTCAGCAAAAATAATACGAATGACCAGGGTTCGTTTCGACGACAGCCCTGATGACAGGGATTTGGAGCAGCCCAGCTGGGAGGTGTTGCACCATTAGTGCAACTAAATTAATATTACCTGGTGACCTAAACGGGGTAAGGTCGCTGAAAGTGTGACAGCCCTTGGTCGAATAAAATCCGGGCCACCTCCGGTGCGTAGAACCGGCTTTGGTAAAGCATACCATGTCTTGCTCGCAAGCGCGTTACCTTATCTTTTATCTTTTTGTTGCAAAGTGAGGTTAGCAATTTTAAGTTAGTTATACAAAGTCAGTTTGGGCAATGTTCACATTCTTGAGGAAGCTTTTTCGGTCTGCAAACGTCTTTATGGTGTCGTCTTAACATACAACAACAGAAATGTTCTGAACAAAAAAGTGAAACCCATCAAAAGCATGCCAATGGCTCGCTTTCCGGTTTTTGATTGAAACCCGGGATTTTGAGTTTCCACCCGCGACATTCATGATGAGCTGCATTTACATACATTCACTAATTTTTTTTATTGAAACATACTTTAATGTTGTTTTACTTACATTTTCTTTTATCTCATTTTCAGCCTTTTGCAATTTCATAATATACACGACGGCAGTAATGATGCCTCCGAAGTCGATGATGAAGACATCAATATTTCAAATTTGAGTCACAGTGATGTAGATAAGACGCTCCAAAGCAGCGGCAAAACACCTCAAAAACAAGATAAAACCGATACTTCCATAGTACTTGAAGTGACACCCATTAAGAACTTACCATCGCCGGCCGAGTCCAGTGGTTCCTCAATTGAGTGCTTGGGTGAGGCAACGACATTGGTAATCGCTAGCGATGAGAATATTGACACCGCAAAGAAGGCTCAGCAAAAACACATGTTACATGCCAACGATGGCTTGACGGATTATGATGGGCCAGCCACCTTATCGACAGATTCCAATTCATCCAGCGCGCCAATGTCTCCAACACATAGCGGCGCTTCTGGTAAACAACAAATGTCTAAACTAAAGGCTATCTTGCAGAGCAGCAATAGCAGTTCGAGTGTGAAAACTTCAACATCATCATCAAGCGTTGCGAGTGCCGCTGCTAACGATATTTCAAATGTATTACGTGCCAATCCCAATATTTCCATGCGTGAACTCTTTCCAGGGGAAGAAGATCTCGGACTGCATTTCAAAGTGCCTTTTGGCAGCAGCACAAGTCAACGTACACCGGAGGGCTGGACACGTGTACAAACATTTTTGCAATACGATGAAGCCACTCGTCGTTTGTGGGAGGACTTGCAAAAACCATATGGCAATCAAAGCTCATTCTTACGTCATTTGATACTTTTGGAAAAGTACTACCGCAACGGCGATTTGGTTCTATCACCAAACGCGTCCTCAAACGCCAGTGTCTACACACAGACGGTGCGACAGCGACTCACTTCATATGATCAAGGTCACTGCGGTGGCCTAGTGAGTGCCAAACCCAGTCCGCCTTCTAGTAAGCGCAGCAGTACCGACATTCCTACGGTAGAAATCACTGAAGATGATGACGAACCAAAAGATAGTATCTCAAAAGAAAGCAAAGTTCAACAAATGGACGTGGATATTGTTGCACGAGAAATGCCCAATGCAATGCGTCCTAAGCGCTCGCGCAGTGATTCTGTAGACAAGCTGACGAAACAGTTGAGCTCAAATGCTGTAACCATAATTGCCCGTCCCAAACCACATACTACATCAGCTGGTGATCCGTCGCCGCAAAAATCTCTTTTAAAGGAGAAATCTAATGATTCGAATGCGGTAGCTTCGACTACACTGACTGTTGTAAGTGGCAGTAACAGTGGCAGCACAAGTAGTAACAGCGGCAGTGCAGCGAGTAATAGTCGCAGCATACTGAAAACCAATCTTCTTGGAATGAATAAGGCTGTGGAAATACTGCCTATATCAGCTTCAAGCAACGCTTCAGTCGCCAATCTAGCTACTACATCCAGTGTAAAACCACAAGGTGGTCACAACAACAGTAGTGGCCAAAAGATACTAGATTTGGCCAACAAACTATTGGACAATCGCAACGAGACGGAGCAAGCTAAAAATAACGCTGGCACATCATTACTAACATCACCTCCAGAACTAGTAAGTTTACAGCGACGTGCAGCGAGCGGTGCTGCCACAAGCAACAGTTCCACTACCGTCACAAGCGCTCCAACTCTGCCCACAACTGTCTCTTCACTCACAGCCAGTCTTATAAATTACAAGCGCACACCAGCGGCAACAAAGAGCTCGAATGAAAGTAATAGTGCACCGCATCGCCCACCACCGCCGAATGTTGTTATACTTCCAGATACTTTGACTGCACGCGAGCGACAGCAGCGCAATTGGCGTCCGACTCTAATGCCAGTAGAGGAAAATTTGCATTTAATTGACAAAGCCGGTCCACTTTACCAAACTGCAGATGGACGCCGGCTGCCAGCGTTGGTACAAGTACTATCGGGTGGTAAACCATTCCTCATTTCAATATTCGATTACAATCGTATGTGCATACTAAGACGCGAAAAATTATTACGTGATCAGATGTTGAAGACTGGCAAAAATCCCCATGACGCCAAGCCACCGCAAACACAACAGCAGCAGCAGCAGCAACAACAACATGCTCCAAAAATGGCAACAGCACCAAATGTGCAAGCAACAAACTTTAGTAAGCATGCATCTAAACAACAGCAGCAACAACACCACCACCACAATCAACAGCAGCAGCAACAACAACAGCAGCAGCAGCAGCAACAACAACAACAACATCATCAAGCGGCACAACAACAACTGATGCAGCTACAAATGATGCAATTGCAAAAACAGGCTGTCATGAAAGCCCCCAATCGCTACTCAACAATCGCACCAAAACCCACAGCAACAGCAACATCTCTTAATGGTGGAAATGGCCTAGCAGCAAATGCCCATACTGCCACCACAAATGTTAATGTAGCCCACACGAATAGCAATATCTTTACCTCACCCATGTTGCCATTGCTTACCAATGCCTTCACAAATCCGAATCCCAATCCATTAGCAGCTGCTGCCGCCGCCGCTGCTAAACTCAACAACAACGCTTGGTTGTGGAACTTCCCAGAATCAGCACATATGCTTAACGGCAACATGGTAGCTGCACAAAATGTGCCCAAATTGCCGCAGCTTCTGCACAAGGGTCTGCCAATGGGCAGTGCTGGCAATATTGCAGCGACAATTACATCCAAACAACAACAACAGCAGCAGCAGCTTCATCAACAACAACAAATGCTAATTGATAATAACTTGATGTCCAAAATACCAAAAACCCTAACTGTTATACCACAGCATAAGCTGATGGGCAACAGCAGTGCGACAGCCAATGTAAGTCATAAAGAGTGATGACGACTTAACTGCTATGCAAGCGTGAAAGGGCGTAGAGAACGTAGACAACGCCGATTATACGGCGCATGGTTGAGTAGTTGAAGGGTGTTGTGAGTGAGTGAACTAGTGGATGAGTGGATGAGCGCGAATGTATATGATATCGGTGAGATGTTAAATGTGCAAGGTGGCTAGTGCCTAACAGGGCTGAACTTACAACATATGAATTTCCTTGTGGTCATGCTCTAACAGAACATTCATAATATGCAAAATTACTTTTGGTATATACATACATTATTACAAACTAAGCATAAGATGTAGTTTCTGAGGCATATGAATACTTTATCGTTATTACACCTAAGCCGATGGCAATTAATAATATTCATTTGAGGTCATATCAGCTAGAGAAAACGATATAATTAAAAAATGAAGTAAATACTTTAATTTTACTATTGGTTTACTTGAATTAATTAAACTCTAGAATCCCAATAATAATACTTGTTAAACATGTAAAAATTACTGATAAGACTCGATGTAGGTTTCAGACAATTTAACTTAACTATTAATCTTGCTAATTGAGCAATATCTTTAGCTGCTATAAATATCATCGGGGATGTATGTTTTATTTCGCCTTAAATATTTTGGTTTGATCCATTCTTTTCGCTTTTCATTGAAAGAATATAAAGAAATCATCATATTGACAATCATAAACTCAAATGAATATGTAGATACATACTTACTTGCATAGCAAGCAAAATCTAGTTACGTAGCATCAGTCGAAGAATTTAATATGTCGCTCTACTCATTGCTGAAATGGCCAATCGAATTTTGAGTATATACATAGTTTCCCTCGGCGTTGGTGCACTTCTCATTGCTTAGTATGTAAATACCAATAACAATATTTTTGTTAACAAATATAAATAAAAGTGTCTGTACGTACATACATGCATATCGCATATATCTTTATAGATCCGTTAAAAAGTTGTTAAACAGTTACAATAGATCAAACAATTGCACTATTTTTCCGAAAGCAGAGCGATCACACAACCGGAATATTTGGTCTAAACTCTTTTGCTATGTTATACGAAGTATTTACGAAGGCAAAATAAACCTTCACATACATACATATGTGTATATCATATTTTCCAGAAGAGATTCGATAATATGTTAAGCGGTTATTTATCAGGGAGAATTTTATGCATAACAATTATTATATATTACACTTCACAAACTTATGCAAAACATAAAGCAGAGTGTTACACCAATTTAAATAAGAATATACCTTTTAATCATATCTGCATATATTACATATATTAGTACTAAGTATTACATAGTAATACGTAAAAGGAAACATTAAATTGCATAGAAATGTATAAAGAAAAATAAAAAATAAAATGATTATGATAGTGATAGAACAAAAATATTTACTATAATAAAAAAATAATGTAAACTAGTTAAGCGCATTATAATATCTGCAAATTAACGTAGGAATAAATATATTTTAGTAGCGACATGCAAGGCGAAAGCGATCCCTCTATTAGGCAATAATAATAATAATAGTAATACAACAAAAATGTTAAATATATGTTTAGTAGTAGTATGTAAAAGCAAAGCGTACATAACGCATGAAGTGAAATCTAACCTCAACAAACGCCCTTACAGAACTTTAGACTAGTGAATAAATAAAACAGCAAAAGAAAAACACGAAACTTTTATGAAAATGTTAAGGAAAACAGTGCCTAAAATACAGATTAATATGAAACCGCAACAACAACAACATGCAAAATTCTGCAGGAAATAATTATTAAAATTTATTGTATATTGAACAGAATAATTTTGTTTATGTTCATGAAACATTTAAAATCATTTGAACGAATTCCTATGAAGAAAAAACAATTGAAATTGAATAAAGTAATTAAGGAGAAAACTGTTGTTGATTATATACTTACGCATACATACATGCATATATATATAATATAAAAGATCTTTATTATTTGAAAACAAAAGAATAAAACTCATAAATATATTTACATTGAAGGAAGAAAACACATTTACTGTTATGCAATAATGCAACAAAAGTGAATAGCATTACTTACATATAAATTTGCATACAAGACACGTACATATACATATACATATATGACATATGTACTCGTATACTTGTACTTCAATTAATTGTATACTCTGTTTATTTGTTAATTAACTTTTAAGCTATACTATTATAAAATCCATACATATTTATACACTTGCATACATGTGCACATGTTGCCACGCTAATGCGCTCTATCATAGTTATACGTTTCATAATAAATTATTTTTATTTAAATTAATATTGTTTATTTTTTTTTTAATCATGTAATAATCATAAATACACTATAATTACAGACATTTCAAATATTATTAAATTCATTATATAACGTAGCTGGAAACATTTATAAGTTTACTGCAAGCAATAACTTTAAGTGAGTCAAAATAAAAATAATTAAAATACATAAATCACATACTGGCATAAAGTAAACTAAATTTCAATTCAACACAAACCAGCAAGTAAGTTTTCTCTTGCGTTGATCAGCTGCAATTTACCTTTACTACATATATGTTACAAATATGAATACATATATACTAAAAATTCAGATACATTTATACGCATATGTATTAATGGGTGTTTGCATAAACTGCATTATGCAATCACATGTGAAAAACTATGCATTCGATTATGAAGTTATGTTTATGCCCTTGATTATTATTAAATACATAAATACATATTTAGTTATAATTTAAAAGAAATACTAAATCGTTTCCATGCTCTTATTTAAATAAGTTTTAAAGGCAATTACACATACATACATACCTTGGTATTAAACTGAAAATGTAATAAAAATTATATATCTACATACATATAATATACGTGAACTCTTTATTTCTCCCAAATATATTTATAAAATGCGTTTTATTGGCTTGGGGTCAGTTAGTTATTTTTTTGTACTTCTTGCAGAAGAACAATATTTTCTTCTATGAGTCTAATAAAAAAGTCTCGTATTAATTTGGTAAGACATTTCCTCAAAACTCTGGTCCCTTGGTTTTGTGTACAGTTTCTATCAAGCCTATCGATTCACTTCATGGTATATTTTCTATTCATTTTTTTTAAAAGCAAAAAGTTGGAATGCCTTTTAACTGTATTTAATAATAATATGCAGTGCATTGAATGCATGTATTGTAGCATTGATATTGAAATTTGAATCATTCCACTGGCCAGAACTATTGCTCAGTAAGCTTAGGTGACACGTAGTATATCGGGATGTAAAATATAAAAAAATGAAAGCGTTTTAGGAAGTAAGGTACTTTTTAAAAATATTCTAATCACGTAGTAAAGCTCAATAACATAAGCACATATACTGGCTGAATTTAATGGCGCGTGAAGGCGTCATTTATTTATGCAGTCGAAATGTTACTCATACGCCATGTCAACCGCAATGTACAATATTATGTGCGATATATATTTTAAAGAGCTACCAATAACTTATGCAGAGTTGCAACCCTATCACTCTTTTTCAACACTATAGCATATATATAATTAAATATAAATATTGCAATAATTTTGCGCACTTTCTTCAAACTAAAAATGAGAAAAAACTGGGGTGTTATAGGAACCGACGCATAACTGCTCAATATCTGTTTGGAATGGTGTTATGAAACCGACTAGATTTCGTTTTTTACGAAGATAAGCAAAACCGATATTCGAATTAGCTGTAAACACACTTGTGAAAAAACTTTTGTACTGTCTTTTGTTTGCTTTTTTGATGACTGAAGGATTTGGATTGCTGATACAAAATTTGTTTGTATGTAGATTCTTAGACCAATAACGCCTTAACAAAGAGACCTTTGTAATAATGCTGAATGTCATTGAGGACAAGTTGGATAAGCTGAAGGTTCCTATCAACGGTCTGTGGGTAGTGACTCAAATATCCCCTTAACGCGAGCTACAGTTTCTGTGGTTATAACAGAAGTAAAGTAAAGGTTTTTAAGCATCCCGGGCATTTACGGCAAAGAAGTTAGCAAGCAATTCTGTCAACGAATAACTGAAACATAAACCGATAAATCGCTTTCTGTATCACCTAGAAAATGAAACCGATGTGCAAATCAATAATCGCAATGTGTAACCCCTTCAGCAGATTTTTATGTGTTTCAATTCTGATTCCGACAATATATGTGGCTTGCGCCACAACAGACAGTCGAGATGGAATTGAAGGAGCCCAGTTTGTATATTTCAGCCTATTCTATATCCAAATTTGAACTTTTTAAGGGAGGGATCTGACAAATGCTCCATGACATTCATATCTCGCTATTCCGGACAATATTTATCTGAGACTTGCTTAACATTGCCCAGTAAACTTGGGGTCATTATCCTGTAAATACTAAAATTTGTTCTCTAAACGTAAACCAGAGTATACCAACGGTTTTGGGGCTCTGCTGCCCCATATCATCACTGATCCTCCTTCATGTTTTACAAAATTGATGAGCATGTGTGTGTGGGCTTTATGTGATTTACACCAAACTTTTGTGTGGATATCAAGTTCAAAAATGTGAAATTTACAATCATCCATGAGCACTATGCATTCCCAAAATGAAGAATATGTCAGAGGGTTGGTTTCGTTTACAGTAGTAGATTTTTTTTTACTATTCCGTGGAACAACCCTCCAAGAAGGCTTCCGATCATTTGAGCCAACATATGTCAGGAATGCATGACGACATATCCCGTCAGCTCGTAGAACGATTTTCATGTCACTTTCTTAAGGCCGAAATGACAAACGTGATGTTTACATTTGTATACGTGTACATCATTATCTCTTCGTCTCCTTGTGCATTCTTGTCATTCTTGTCGGACAAAGAGAACACAACTGAGCGACAGCATTGATGTCGAAGGAAATCAGTTTTGACAAAAATTGTCCCACATATATACATACATACAAACATTATTAAGATTCAGTCTTTATTTCAATATTTCACATAATACATGTACATGTTTACATAGTATATAAAAGAAATAACAATACAACAATAAATTCGTTTGTAAGCAAAACCGCAAACAGAAGAAGTCTTTAATAGTGACGCAGCTCCTCCGCTCCACAAACGCCGCCGTCATAATCGCAGCTCCTTTTAAGTATAAAGACATATAAGTGGAAAAAAATAATGGGTCAATAATAATGTTATTAATGTCTAAATGCAGTTGCACCTCAACGCAAAGTTTTGTCGAATATTTTTAAATCTGCTCCTGCAGCAAGATGGGAAGCGTCCATTACAGTCAAACTACTCCATTAGCTGATCATTCCGTACGTCATGGAGTGCCCTTAACAGGCCTATTCTGTCTAGGTAACAAAATTTACTGAATGGGAAATTTTAATGCCAAAGTTACCATTTCGTATTCTGAGCTCACTGTCACCCTGTAAATTCTGTTACCAGCGAAATAGGAGGTAACATAATCTGATGTTTGATTTTGTGTTGTAAGTTTGAGAAAAAATAAAAAACCAAAATGGGTAGGCATATTTTAGGCCTGGAATTCATTGAAGATGAAGAAAAAAGTGCAAAAAGCCGTATATTAAGAAGTTTTCGAGACTGAAAAACAGCCCTTTAATTTGTAAGATAACGTTTTCATTCAGCTTTTTTGTTGTCCAGTCATATTTTCCATAATTAGGTTCAAATACTTATGATTTAATAAACAAATTATTAAAACTTTGTAATTCTTTTGTGCACCGTCTTCCATTTCGATGTGAATATTTTTCTTTTTACTTTATCAACTGGCAAATGTAATTTGACAAGGACGAAAAAAGCAGTTCGCTGGAATACCAAATTCAATTTCGGGTGTTAAAGAAAAGTAACAAAATTTACTTTACCGGTAACAGTGAGGCCTATAAATAAACAAATGTAAAAAGCAATGAAAAATGAAGTACTTAAATCATCCAAAATACATTATTACCATAGCTTGTGCAGGATCCTGATCATGTATTTTTGAGTTCTATCTACAATACTACAAAAAAATCGGATAATCAAAGAAGTTATCCATCTTAGGAGGGCGCAGTCAAAATAATAACTTTAATGTTTATGAAATGATAAATTAACTTTGGTATGAAGTATGAAAATACCAAAATGAGAAGAGGTAAAACGATTAAAATGTAATCTGATATAAATTAGAGTGAGATATTTCAAACAAACTCAGTACACTTATGCGTTGCTACATTTAAACGATCATTTGTCAGAGGCAGTCAGATCGGATCACTATCTCATATATATACGATAGCTGAGTTGTTAGCGTTGTGTACTACAGTTCGAGAGGCAGGGGTTCGAGTCAACATCCGAAAAATATAGAAAATTAATTTAAATAAAAAAATAAGTTAAATTTTTTAATTGCACTCAACCTCTCTGAGTGTCTTCATGACATGAAATAAAGTCTCCTCATAAAAAAACCGCCAGTGGCGGCTTAGTATAAAATGTGGGCCCTTCCATTTGTGTATACCACAAATCGAAGGATATACACGAACTATTTTTCAGTTTTGATACTTTGGGTGAAAATTCCATCAGAAAGCATCTGAAAGCGTGAGATTTGGTATTTTACACACGCATTAAGGTGAATTCATTTTTTTAATAAATTGAATTTTTGAAAGCTGGGAAGGTAGTGTCAAAACTTTGTACAAA